GAGTTTTCTGGAGCATCGAGAACCCAAGGTCCTCAATGCTGTGGGATTTCTACCCCGCACGAGAGCTCAATAGCCTCCTCGACGCGATTTGCGTGTTCTTGGTGCATTGCAGTTATGGAGCCCCGCATCAGAAGCCGACAACAATCCACAAATTTCTTTGCCCTCTCGTCCCTGGCTTCTGTCTGTCCAAGGGGCCGCGCGCATGTGGAGCTCAGGGGCATCGAGACGGTGACGCTGCCGTCTTGGGCCCGGGCCCCCCGTAATGGCACCGCAGGTGCCGGGGCTTGCCCTCGCAACCTTTGCACGGCATGGGCGCAGGCCGCGGCCGTGACGGCGCCCGCCGACGCCCGGGGCTGCCCAGACGCTCCTGACGGGGCCGACCTCGAAGCTCGGCTTCGCGATGCTGCTCGACGGCCGGCTTCCAGAGCCCCTGGGCGTCTGAGTCCGTCTCGGCAACGGCTCCAAGCAGAGCCTGACTTCGGGCTAGCTGCAGCCGCCGATCCAGACGCCCTCGAGAACAGGCGCGATCACTTGCGGCATTTTACCATCCTCGGTCAAGACTCCAACCTCGAGGCAGCCCAGAAGCAGGCAGCCCGCAGCAAGATGGGTCCAAAAGGTCGCTGGCAGCTGCTCCCACGTCTGTAGCTTCGTGAAAGGGATTATTTGCAGGGCTTCGGCTTCAGGCCTCGTGTTCCAGAGCCTGCCGACGGCGGGGTGGCTCGGCTGGCAGGACATCTCGCATTTGTGTCGCACGTCACTCTGCACTCAATCAGATTGTGCTTGTAAATCCCGAGTCTGGCCATGGCTCAGAAGCGTGAGCGGTTGGCTCGCCCAAATCTGTTGATCGGTTTTACGAAGGGCGGTCGGCTTCTCCTCCTGGCCGCTTGCCTCCCTCACAGCCTCGCTCGATAAGCTCGGCTACGGAGGACCCCATCTCTCAGTCTTCCCAGGAGGCCTCCAGTGAATGATGGCGGTGTGGGTATGTCATTCAGCAACGACTTTTGCCTTGCCCTTAGCGTGCTTATCACTGTTCCCACGCAGCTTCGGAAGGAATATTCTGCAGTGCTCGCCTGTTGCATGAAAAACAATCATGTCGCTTGGCAGGGACATTGGGACAAGGTAGAAGGGACAGAGGTGTTTTTGATTTATGATTGTTATATCTCTCCTTTCGCAGAAGCCCGCATGTCTCTATTCATTTGATCAAGTCTTCCCTCCCTTTCCCCGCCCTCGTGGGGATGTCATCATCATTCAGCAAAGACCTCTGCCCTGTCCTCAGCGTGCTTATCAGTGTTCCCACGCAACTTGGTCGTTTTTCATTGTTTGTTTTGCCGATCGGCGCGGTCCCTCGCCCCCCCCCCCGCGGAGTAGAACTTGGCTGTTCTTGGCACTTGCTTCGAGCAGGCGGATTCTTCCCTATAGGACGCACGGTTCCAAACAGTCGCACCAAGCGGAGGTCCAGAGCCCCCCCCCTTCCCAACCCACCCTTCCGCCCAATGTCGAACCGCCGAATAAAATAAAACAGCGTTCACGAGGGTGTTCACGAGGGGCGCGCGCGCAACCGTCTCGTTTTCCCCACGCCGTCCATGCGTGTAAGGGTGCGTCGCGCAGTGTTTTTCTTGTGGACGCCATGTGGTTACGCAGGGAGCGACGCGAATTGTACCGGGGGCGTATGAAAAGGGATTCTGGCCCACATGGAACACATTGCCTCACGGATTTGAGCGTCGGCAGGGCTGGTAAGATTGATGGTGTGGACAAGCAAGGGATGAAATTCACTCTGCGGGTTCAATCGACATGGAATCCGACCGCTCTCTGTATCGCTGAGCTCCGACGTCCCCTACACTGCCACATGCCACTTGTGCACATGCGCTGCCGCGCATCTCCGCCACAGACCTGGGGAAGGGAGGTGCGCGCGCAGGTGGACATGGGGGATCGGGCGGGCGGTGGGGCATTATGGACCACCACAAACACGCAACGTAAACTCAATGGCCTTCGGTTCGTCCCGCCGCCCTGCCAGGATCATGTACCAGAGACTTCTGTGTCGCAGAGGACGAAAATCGGAATTGGGGAAGAAGGGGGCTTACGAAACCTGCGGCATGGAGCGGGTCTTCGGCACCGCCGTTCGGTCGTGATGAGCGCCTGCAGGTGCCGGGAAAGCCAGCTGCATGCAGTTGGGTTCCCTGCGTCCCCCAACCTGGGAACGGCGAAAATATCAGTGCGAGTTTTCCCGTTCGGCCCTCTCTTCAGGAAGTTTTGGGCCTTTATGTTTGAGGCTCTCTTGGGGCGATCTTGGAGACTGCCCTGGACACCCTTAGGGTTGGAAGGCGGAAGCGAAATTACAAAAAGAGTCGGGCCAGTGGTCATGGGGGGTGACCCACGTGGGGTGTGAAGAGGAGGGCCCTGAAGTGGCACTTCAGGGCTCCTTTTGGGCCCCTGCTGGCTCCCGAAGGGGCCCTACATTGCCCCTTTCGGGCCCTTCTCTTCGCCTCCCGCTTGGGTCTCCCCCCAGCACCACTCGCCCCTAAAGAAAAAGCATCTTGTAAGCTTGAGGATGTTCAGTGATTCAGGCCGTTTGCGCCGCCCTCCTGGGCCTCTACCGTAACCGTCCCAGGAGGCACCCGAGCGGGCTCCAACACGGACCCTTGGCACGAGGTTCAGACTCCCCCAAAGCGCGTTCCCGAAATCCCTGGAAAAGACGCACGGCGAATCTAAGGACTGTTGCGACTCGGAGTGCCGGGGCCTTCCTGCTGAACCTTCACAACCATCAGTCTTGCGGATTCGGTGGCACCTCGCGATGTTCCATTCAGTGTTTGCGGCACATTGGCGGATTCACCAGGCGGCCAGCGTGCCAATGTCAAGGCATGTTGGTTACAGTGCTCTTGTGACTCCGAGGATTGTTTGGACTCGGAGAGTGACAGGAAGAAAACACTACAGAGGGCTCGACGCACATCGGCGCCATCACGTCGCAGAAGCCCAGGAAGCCTCGAGAGGAGAGGGCGGCGCGCGTGACAGTTAAGGCCGAGCTGGGGGGGCGCTTCGAGGACTCGAAGGAACGCTACCAGGCAGCACTTGGCAGTCCACCTCGAGCAGTGGAGCAGCGCCCTAGGTGGCCAATAGGCCCACCAAAGAATGTTCTAAGAGCCTCGTGTGGTCTTCACGAGATGTTATCCGAGCACTTCTGGCTGATTTTGTCTTGTCTTAACACATCGGGTTTATGTTTGAAGAATTAGGTTTCTGTTCGTGGAACATTTTGTGCTTCTCAAAGCATGTCGTGGCTGGCCGATAGGAATGCCGGGACGGTCGGTCCCTGCTCAACTTCCTCGCCCCAGGGCGCTAGCGGGCACAGTGGTGGATCTTTTTGCTGCGCCGCCTGCCACGGAAAGTCGAGTCTCAAGGGGTAAGTTGTTGCTTTTCGTTTGGCCAGGGGAGTCTCCGAGCACGTGTTGGAGGTTTGGGCGTTTTTGCTAGGAGTTTTTGGGGTCATGGGCATGTATCGGGGTGCCGTAGAGAACCTCCGAGGGATCCGCCCAGAACGGAATCTTAGTGTTTCGCAGCGGGATCCGCCGCCGCGCGAACGACTAAGTTGCGCCAAAGTCTCCAGGCAGTGGAGATGGTAAGATGTCGTTTCCTCTTGAGAGTCAGCGCCTGTCTCCTCTGCTTCCCGCTCCCGAATTCCCGAATTCGGCTTCTGGGGCCCTCCCTCTTCTCTCTTCCCTTGCCGCCCTCCCTGCCCTCGCCCCTCTTTGCCCCCCCCTGCCCGTCCAGACCGCCTCAAGGAATTCCTTTCATGGCGTCGCCTCCTGGCCTGTCTGACGTTGATCCCTTTTCAGGGCGCGGGCCAGACTGCAGCGCGGTCCGCCCTCTTGTAGTAACTAGAGGAAGTAGAGGAGGAGGAGGAGGCGGAGGAGGAGGCCGGCGATCCGCCAGGGGTCCTCGGCAAAGCTGGCTTCGCTCGATGGCCCCGTCCCTCCCCTCCCTCCCTCGCCGCCCTCTTTCACCCCCCCCTCTGGATCGCCCTCGCCTTCCTGCCTCCCTCCCTCACTCGTGTGCCCTCGGCTCTTCGCCTCCCTCCTCGCCCCCCTTTCCCGCCGTGTGACCACACCATGACGCTCACGCCACCGTTCACCACCTCCGCCTCCTTCCCCGCCCCCATGCTTACCCGCCCTCCTCCCCGTTCCTTACCCTCTTCGTCCTCGGCGCCTCGGCGCTGGCTATCCGTCCTACCTCCCCCCGCCCTCGTCCCTCCTCCCTCCTCATAATATTTTCCTTTGGACCCGTCGCCTCGCCTTCCCCTTCCTCCCTCCTCCTTTGCCTTCCTCCCTCCTTCTTCCCCCTCCTCCCTCGTTCTCCTTTGTCCTGCGTCCTCCTCCTCCTTCGACACAATTCACCCTCATCATCCTTCCCCTCCCTCCACATCGCCCTCCTGGGGCCGCCTCGCCCTCCCCCATCGCCGATCTCCCTCCAGAGCGGCCGACCAGACAAAGGAGGGACGAGAAGAGCTGGCGTTGCCTCCGTTGGGGGCGAGGAGGGATGGCGCTGAGCACTGCGCTGCTGAATGCCGCCGCAAGCCGCCAGACGGCCCACGCTGCAATGGCACACGCCACACCCTCACGTAGAGTAGAGCGCACCATTCGGATGAAGAGTTCAACGCGTGATTTGTCCCGCTCCCTTGAACTCGAAAAGGGCCGTCCGCTGAGGCAGGATTGGACACAATGTGGCATGGTGGGGCGGGAAAGGGGGGATCGACGGCAGATCCGGCGCGATCAGGCCAGTGACCATTTGCGAGCCGAGTTCTGGGACGAAAGGCCGCAAGGCAACAACACACGTGCGCCTCCTTCTTTTCCGCCACTTACCATCCCTCCTCCTCCTCCTCCTCTTCCATTTTCAACGTTAGGCCAACTTGAGGCGGCAGCCTGGAGCGTGCATTCCTCCTCCTCCTCCTCCTGCTCATCCACCTCCTCCTCCTCCTCCTGCGGGTCCTCCTCGTTGGCGCCGCTCGCCAG